CCTTGCATTGTTTCCCTGACCTAGATAACCCCTGCCCCAAAGCTGCTCTTAGCCCTGGTGTGGGGCACAGAGAAGGAGAGCAGAGGGCTGGAAAGAGTGTAGCTTCCATTCTGCCAATTATTCATAATCCTCCTCCAACTTTCCTGCATTGTTGTGTGTCACCGGTTTAAATTTGATCCCACCCGGCGGCTTCATTATTTCTTTACTCTCGGTGCAAATTGCCTGTTTTGATTTTATCATAGCCTGGTTTTATTTCTTCCTTACACTGCAGTTTTATTGCAACGTGGTTATTTTATTTCACAAGCCACCTGGAGAACTTTTATGATGGGATGGCATATAATGCATGTAAATAAAGGCAGAAAATAATAATCACCATAAAATCGTGTGGGTGCTTTCGATCCCTCGGAGGGCATTCATCGTGCTCCACCTGTCATCGTTAAACAAAGATTTGTACAATTCCAAGTGCAGCCTCCTGGTCCCTTTGGAAATTTCACCCAGTGAAGGCCTGGCTTTTTGGCCAGCCTTAACAGGTTGAACGCCACGACTCCTCCACACCAGCTGCCTCCCTGGCCATTTTTAAGTGGCGAACTGGACGTGATTCTTCTCAACATAGTGGAAGGCTAAAATAGCCAGTGTGATGTATGGACAGGCTGTTTCTCTCTTCCCCATGCCCACAGTGGTGTGGACTGCTGCAAAACACTCTGCCACCAACTGTTGGCTCACCACCAGCAGCTCTCCATACTTCAGGTCTTGCTTGGGGTTCTTGCTTGGCTCTACCTACCTGGGGCAGGCACGCAAAGAGCTTCTACCAACCTAGAGTGGAGACAAAGATCAAAGAAGAAGAAAGAAAGAGGGCTGCTGTTATGTGCTGTCGGGTTGTCTCTGATTATTGGTGACCCTATGAATGAAAGTCCTCGGAAATGTCCCATCCATGGCAGTCCTGGTTGGCTCTCATCAACTCAAGGCTGTGGCTTCCTTGCTGGAGTCCATCCACCTTTTTCTCTGCCTGCCTGCAATTTTCCTGAGCATGATAGTCTTCTCTGGGGGGTTTTGTCTTCTCACGATGTGTCCAAAGTAGGTCAGTCTCAGGTTCGTCATTTTGCTTCTAGGGAAAGCTCTGGTTTGATTGGACCCAATTGTTTGTCTCTCTGTCGGTCCAGGGTATCCACAAATTTCTCCTCCAGCATCATGTTCTGAATGCATCAATTGTCTTCCTGCCAGCTTTCTTCCCTGCCCAGCTTTCACACCTACGCATCGTAATTGGGAATACAGTAGCGCGGATGATCTTGGCCTTAGTCATCCATGAAACATCCTTACCCTTGACAGTCTTTTCATTGCTGCCCTTCCAAGTCTCAGTCTTCTGTGAATGTCTTGGCTGTGGTCTCCCTTTGAGCTGATGGCTGGGCCACGGTATGTAAAATCTTCCCCAGCTTCAATTTCTTCATCGTTAACAGAAAAGTTCTGCAATTCTTCTGTAGTCATGCTTTTTGTTAATATTCACCTGCAGTCCTGCTTTTCTACTTGCTTTTTTCACTTGAAACAGGAGTCATTTCCATTTTTTTATTACCTTGGAAACCCTATGATGAAAGAAAGGAGGAGGAAAAATAGAAGATGCAGAGATGGGAGGAGCCCTAATTCTGAACAAAGTTCTTTTCTGCTTTTGGTGAAACCGAGAGGGAGAGAAGTGGCGGTGAGCAGAAGGAGAAAGGAGACAGATCTGTTGCAGCAAAAGGCCCCATGCTGCTTTGGCATTGGCTTTTTGAGAATGTTCCCCCTGGACACACACAATTCCCCCACAAGAAATACATCTGTGTGCAGTAAATACAAAGGGGCTCTCAATTTTGTACTTTTCTGGCAGTCACATTGCTGGCAATCTTCATTCAGTCCTCAGTTTCCTTCTTCCCTCTGCCTCCTTTCCCGATTCTCACCAGCACTTTTAAGACTGTGGTGGTTTAAGAGGCCAGGCAGCTGTGGGAGGTGGAGATGCTTTTATTTAAAAAGTAGAAGGTAAAGAGAAGACACAGACAACAGGGTACAGGTGGACTTGGCAAAGATGCCTGCCTCGCACCCAAGGCTGCTCATTTGCTAGGGTCTGGGCACAGAGGATGGATCCAGCCATGCCTTTTGGCAGGTGTATTTTGAACATCAATCATCCAGAAGGTTCAAGGAAATCTCTTCATGGGATCCCTTTGTTAGGTGGATGGTTTCGGCATGCAGAGATGTTCAGAATGGGGAAAATACATCTGGGTTTGAAAAGTGTAATCAAAGAAGTAGTTTGCAGAACAGAGTTCAGAGAGAGAGAACTGCTGGGGGAAGGTGACTGCCTTCTCGCTTTGGGATCAGGTGTGCAGCAGAAAACTTGCTAGGGCATTTTGTTAGCGGAATTGTTGCTTGCTAAAAATGGGTGTATTTGCAACTAATTTTTAACTACAATTAAGGGAAGAAGTCATGTCTTGAGACATGAAGTCATGTCAGTGTAGCTTAGTGGTTAAGAGCGTGGGACTGGGACTCGGGCGATCTGGATTCTAGTTCCTGCTTGGCCATGGAGCCAACTGGGTGACTTTGGGCCAGTCACAGTCTCTCAGCCCTGCCTACATCACAGGGTTGTTGTTGTGTGGATAAGATTGATTGCAGCAGGAGGAGAATGATGGAAGCCGCTTTGAGAACTTAAAAAAAAAAAAGGCAGAATATAAATCATAATTCTCCAGTGGTCTCTCTGTGAAAAAAGAGAGGTCATTTTCAGCTCTGTGGTTTCGTAGGGATGCTGTGGTAGTACTTTTACTGCATTGGTGGAAGGTTGAAGTAGGAGACAAAATTTTGCACCTGAGCTTAAAGCTCTGTTCCCGTGTTTTATGGGACACCTTCTTTGATCCTGACGTATGTGCGAAATCAGACTTAAGGTTTAATCTTATGCATGGTTAGAAGTGGTGTTCATTTTATTTGTATTCTGGCCAGCCGAAACTCTCTGTACAACAAATAATAAAATGAAATATAAAATAGAAATAACATTAAAATCATAAAATTTCATTAAAATAGCTGTACAGAGAGCTAGGTATAGATAGATAGGCCATAAAAGTAACATCTCAAGTGATATAATATCCATCTTGATTTATTGGCTGCATTGAGGGGGTGGCTTAATGGGACTACTATAAACAAAGACTCTTACTTGGAGAACTTAGAGTAATTTCTTTGAGTAATTTCTCGATGTTCAATGCAATATCTTCAGAGAAACATACAAATTAAGAACAAGGCATTTGGCTAAGAGAAAAAACAAACCTCGATGGGGCCTTGATCCCTTAAATTAATAATCATCCTATATTTCTGCCAGATGTCAAGTTGCAAAGGGCTAATGTTTCTCTTGAAGGAATTCCAGAGGTCAGATCTCATGAGCTTTCATATGAACTATAATGTGGAAATATTTAAAGAGTGGCTGGAAGGGGAATTCTGGATGAATTTCGTTTGGGTGAAATTTGGAGTAAGCACTGCAAACAGATATGGGTGGCAGGAAGCAGTCTAAGAGGAGATGTAAAAATGAGAAAAGCAATAAGGAGAAAGGTTTGGGGATGGTGGGTAGCAGGGCCACCTCCTGCAATCTGGGAACAGCTAGGAAAATAAACACAGGCAGTTTCGAGGGATAATTAGAAGAGAAAAGCAAATACTGAATGCCAAACAACAAGAGCCTCCCTGACTTAAAATGAAAGGCTCTTCAGATCTATTATTAATAGGCAGAAGATAAAAGAGAAAGATCAGTCTGGTTTTTAACAAAAGTTATGGAGGGGTCAGAGTGGCTGAATTAAACAGCAGGCAGATTGTGAGAGTCTGTGGAGACAGTCTTGGCCACAAAAAGTGTCTTTAAGATTCAGAATTAGTTTTGCTTTAATTAACAGAGGAGGTGGGTTGTTTTCCCCTTGTCTTTTTCATGTCAGTTTTTCCTGGCTGCTTTCCCATGGACCCAACTCGGTATGGAGACAATGTGGTGTAGTGGTTAGAGTGTTGGATTGGGACTTGGCCATGAAGTTTACCACGTGATTTGGGGTCAGTCACTGACTCTTGGCCTCACAAGGCTGTTGTGAGGATAAAATGGAAAGGAGGCAAGGGCCAAATATGCTACCTTAAAGATGTAAGCATGAATATAAATTAAAGTTATACAATCCCGTGCATGTTTAGAAAGAAAGAATAAACTCCCACGACTTCGATATATGGGCATGCCATTCTGATGGAAGCTCTTTTGGGAGAGCACACCTGACACGCCAAAGGTTCTCTCAGGAGGGGTCTGCTCTCACCTTCCTGGTTCTCTTCCTCTCTTTTGCCATGCAGAGAAAGCTGTGCCACGGGGACAAAGGCATGCCAAAATACCAAATAATCTTTAGGAGGACCCGCCCTCTGACCACAAAGCAGGGGAGTGTTCCTAAAACAGGACCGAGCATTTTCAGTAGCTGGAGAATGTTGATCGATTATTAGAAAGGAGAACTGGAAAACCAGGTGGCAGGGGGAACGGAATTTCTCAAAGAGGAGAATTCCAGAAGTCCAACATGGCAACATTTAGTTCCAGCTCCTGTTTGTTTTCCTCTCGTTCCACCCCATGCATCATTCCGTGAGCCTCTATCAACTTTCTCTGCTCCTTGCCTCCTCTCTTCTGCTCAGTCATTCCCAACATAGCACCCTCCAGATGTTATCAGACTACAATCCCCATCTTCTCCAACCACCCTGGAGAAGGCTCTTTTAGGTTTACCTGGTAGAAGAGGTGCTCTGAGTCCTCAGTTGTTTTGCTTGCCCTTTTCTGCAGCGTTTGCATCTCTTAAGATGGGGTTCTGTGCTTCACTCATCCCCCAACACATGAATGTGCCCTCCATCCATGCACACAAATGGGCACAGCTTGCGGGCTGTCCTTGCTGTCTTCGGGTGATACATGGCTGGGCTTCTTCCAGCAGAAGCAGAAGGTGTTGCTCCATCGCTTTCTCTTCTTATATGTTTTTTTCATCCCTTCCCCACTCTACCAGGTCCTTGGTGCTACGATTCACAAGATCTGAAATGCGGTGAGTACTTGAGATGAGGTATGTATGAGAATTTTGTTCTGATTCATTTTTGACCTGAATCTGCCTCATTTGTACCCCTGAGCTTGCAATTACAAAATGCTTCTGACAGAACAATGCACATTTCCAGATGCACATTTTGAAAAGAAAAAAGCATTTCCATGCACAAGAGTGCCAGGAACACTCTGAACTTATTCTAGCTAGAGTAGGAGGAACCCAGAGACGAAGGGAGCCTCCCTCTTTCCTGCCCAGCAAAGCACTCAGGTGGCTGATTGTAGTTTAGCATTTCAGCACAGGGTGGAAGGTGGCTGTGGCACCAACAAAATACATCATTGCACCGTAGGGCCAGTTTCCTTCCCTTCTGGCCCCCAGAACACTCCCAGAGTCACTTTTCCCACCCCAGGGAAGCATATGGATTACTCTTTCTGGGCTAGCTGCAGGGTGATGAGGAGAAGAATTGGATTGGCGTGTGCCTCTCCAACTGTGGGGGCTGAACAATTTTCCAATCTTGCAGCTGGAAATCAAAGAGGCCCTATGACTGTCTAGATCATGGGTCCTCAAAATCTGGCCTGTGGGCTGGATCCAGCCCGCCATGCCCATTTATCCAGCCCGCCTCAGGGGTTTCGGACTCCCTGCGTGCGTGTGTGGTGAGGCAGCGGCTTGCTCACACGGAGATAATTTTGTACTCACTTGGAGAAAATGATCTCCACGGGTGCCCGCCCCACCTTGCCGTGGGTGCCTGCCCCCCCACTGGCCTGCCCCCGCCCCTGCCGGCACCGCCTTGCCGGCTAGCGGCCATCGCCAACACCTTTCAACTGGCCCCCTGTTGAAAAAGTTTGAGGACCCCTGGTCTAGATGCTGTTAGCAGCTGTGAGAGATTGCTCTGTTGATCAACAGGGTTGGGATAAAAAGAAAAAGCTATACTGGGCTGCATTAATAGAAGGATAGCTTCTATTAAAATCACGTGAGCTACTGGTTCTCCTCTATCCAGCACTAGTTAGACCCCATCTGGAGTCTTGTGTCCAGTTCTGGGCACCGCCATTTAAGAAAGTTGCAGACAAGCTGGAAGGGGTTCAGAGGAGGGCAGTCTGGGAGCTGGAAACCAAGTCCTGTCATGGAAAGAACAGAAGTCCGGAGAAGGGAAGACTGAGCAGAGGTAGGATAACCCTTTTCAAATCCTTGACAGGCTGTCACACTGAGGAGGGCTGGAATTTCCAATCGATCATCCCAGAAGGCAGGACACAGAATAATGCGCTTAAGCAACAGGAAGCCAGATCCCGACTGGACAACAGGACAAACTTCCTGTAGAGCAGTGTGCCAATGGAACCAATGACCCCCGGATTGGTCATGGGCTTTCCCACACATTCGACAGGCAGGTGGCTAGACCTCTGTCATGGATGCTTTAAGCTGGGCCCTGCACTGAGTTAGGGGGTCGGGCTTGATGGCCTTGTAGGCCTCTTCTAGCTCTACTGTTCCGATTCAGTATGCCAGGACTCCTTTCAAGCAAAGATGGTGGGGATTGAAATCCAAAACCTTTTGCAAGCAAAGCTTATGCTCCGTCAGCCAGTTATAGCCAATGATAAAGGGATGTCCTGAGAGAGAACAAAAATAAATATTGCAGGAAGGAAGTTGTTTGGTCTTCGGAGACTGTTATGTTCACAAAAATAGCCTGTTTTGTCTGTCAGACTAAACCTGGACCTGGTAAGGGAACCCTGTTGAATTATAAATAAGAAAAACCCCATTTATGAGTATTAATGAATGTTGTCTCAGCAAAAGGTCATCTCTTGTTGGCAGGAATTCTGGAAGGAACAGTGGAGGAAGGCTAATGAGTGTTTTGGCTGAGGCGTCCGTGTAGAACAATTTCTCTGAGCGAGGTGTTGATTTTACCAGAATCCTCTAAAAAAGAAAATCAATGCAAATGGCTTCCACATAACTGAAGCAGGGGGAAGTTAAGAGCCCTGGAATCCATGTGGTTCATTTCCCTCCCCTTGCCATTAATGGGGTGGAAACAGTTGAACAAGAGAGAAAGAAGTAGAAAAAAAAAGACACACAATTCTGCTTTTTCCTCCCCTTTTTGCACAGGTTTGCACAAACCCAGCAACTTTTCTATTTGGGGGGGTGACCTTTGACCTTGGCCTAGTCAATAGGAATGGGGACCAGAGCTACTGAAAAGAGAATTTCCAGCAACAGTTTCAAGTTTGCGTTCAGTGAATCTTTCTGTTCATGCACTGAGACTCATCTTCTGGTGGAGATAGTTTGCTAGCCGTATATTGGAAATAAAAAGCTCTTATGCAGCAAGACTCTCTGCTGTTTGGCAGCTCTTGGCAGCTATTTGTACCTTAATGTACTTTTGAATGGACCTGCTGTGAAAGTCACATTTCCAAATGCATTTTATCCCAAAATGCGCCTTTGGAAATGTGTTTCTGGGACACCTTTTCTAGCAGAGAATGGTACCATAATGTGAAACCTGACATGCATGCAGCAGTGGCTGATGGCTCCATTGTTAGCAAGGAAGCACAGGCACTGCTGATTTAAATCTGAACGTTAAAGGGGATATTCATGGTGCAGGAATTAGCTTGGGGATGGGTTTCAGCACCACGGATAGCTCCTTAAAATTGCAGCCTGAAGCCAAGGGGGACACAATGGCCCCCTGAGCTCAAGGTCTCCTGCCTCCACTGCCCACAGGCTAGTCTAGGAATTCCAGATTGGGTTGGCCCTTGCCAGTGTTCACTATGCACAACCAAGCTGCTAGTCCAGCTGAATGCATGAATGAAGGATGTTTTAATGTATTTTGTATTTGATGTTGTAAGCCGCCCCGAGGCCTTGGCAAGGGGCGGCATAGAAATGTTTTAATAAATAAATAAATAAATAAATAAATAAATAAATAAATAAATAAATAAGGAGGGCACTGGGGGCTGGAAGGCTTCCTGCTTCGGGTCTCATCCTGTCTGCTCCGAGCATAGATCCTTCATCCTGCTTCTGCCTTGGTAGGGTGGGTAATGTGCAGTGGAGGCAGGATCCTCAGGGAAACAGGACTGGCCCATATTAGCACAAGTCGCCCGCTTCTTTAGAATGCCTGCTGCTTCTCAGCTTAGCTCCAACTGGGGGAATTGGATTTACCCAGCAACGATATATACTGTATTTCCTTCATGTGATGCAATGTATTTGGGGGAACTCAGCCTTTAATGTCCAAGTAAGACCCATGAGAGCCCGTGTGGTCCAGTGGTTAAGAAAATGGAACTGTTCCCGATTATGGAATATGCTCCCCAGAGAGGTTTGCCTGGAAGCAACGTTTTTTTTTTTTCTTTTTGGTGCCAGGAGAAACCTTTTTTATTCTCCAGTTATATTAATGGCTAATTGGTTTTAATTGCAATCTTAATGTGAATTGCTGGATGCTGTGCCACCTGTGGTTGTTGTAAAGCATCCTGAGATGGTAGTAATGGGACAGTCTATAAAAGCTTTAAATTAAGAAAAAAGGGCCCAGGAGATCTGGGTTTGAGTCCCCATTCAGTCATGGAGCTCACTGGGTGACTTTGGGCCAGTCACACACGCTCAGTCCATCCTACCTCACAGGGCTGTTGTTGTGGGGATAAGATGGAGAGGAGGAAAATTATGTAAGCTTCTTCAAGCTCCTTGAAAGGAAAAAAGGCTAGATATACATATAATAAATAAAATAAAAAGAATGATGTTACAAAAGGCTTATGCTGCTGGTGCAGAAGATAACTGCCAGTACCGGCGCATTAATATGGATCAACTCACTAGCTGGAAGTTTAGCACTCACCCTGGGGCAGGGGATGTGTTTATGGATGTGATCCTGGGGAGAGATCAAGATTCACTCCTGAAGCAGTGAATTTTTTTCCACCCTGCTCAGTCCTACCTCTGCCTCTTTGCCTTCATCCCTTTAGGTCCCTCTCACTGGAAGGACATCACGGCCAGCTGTGGAGGAGAGAACCAGTCGCCCATTAACATAGACAGAAGGAAAACGCAACGGGACAAGAACCTGGATGAAATCTTGTTCGAAGGCTATGACCAGGCCCCTCCCGGCCGGTGGCGACTGTTGAACGACGGACACACAGGTGGGGGGCAAAGGTGCAGTGCTTGGCCTCTGTGTCCCCCCCCCCCCGCCCTGCCTTTTGCCAGGCTGGCTATTTTGCCCAACTAAAGGGATGCCTCCGGGGAGGAAGCAAGCTCGGTGGAGCACCTGGGAGAGCCTGCATTCTGGTTTTGGAAGAATTCTTACTGGCTCCCTGGAGGTCTGTCCCAGCCACAGTGGAAACAGGGCCAATACTTTCCAGGGTGTTCTTTTCTGTCTGCCAGATGCAGTTTTTGGCCTGGCCATGGCCCTCTGGTGGGTGAAAGGGAGAGAAGGGATAGCAGTAGCTTTATGGCTGGTAGGAAGCGTCCCTTTCTGTCTCTCAACTGCACCTTTGTACAACTCTTCTTTGCAGTCGTCATGACCCTGGATGGAGCCTCGGCCGCCGAACAGATCAACATCACCAAAGGAGGGCTTGGTGAGAAGTTCCGGGCCCTGCAGTTCCACTTCCACTGGGGGGACCTGGACCGAAATGGCTCCGAGCACATGGTCGATGGGCGCCAGTACCCCATGGAGGTAAGCTGAGCTTTCCGAGTTTCGATCTTGGTTAGCAGCCAATGACAGCAATGGAAAGGGCAGCTAGATCAAGTGGACGCTTTGGAAGAATTGGGAAGGGAAATGATGGTGGCTAGAGCAAGGTGCTGGCTCACCGAAGAAAGAGAACATGCGTTGCTCCCCTCAAAAGACATTAATCTTTGCAAAATAGGAAGCTTATATTTACCTGGATGAATGCAAATTCAGAGGGGGTTATATTAATGCAAACAGAAATATGTATTTATTGAATTCAGACCATTTCTAATCTGCCTTCTTCCTGCAAGGAATCCAAGATGGTTTACAGAAACTGCTGCCTCCTTCATTTTATGCCCACAACAACCTTGTGAGGTAGGTTAGGTGAGAGTCAGGCTGAATGGGGACTAGAACCCAGATCTTGAGACCCAGCGCAGCACTCTTGCCCACCCCACCATGGAGACTCAGTGAAATACTGCTTCATTGTGGCCTGCTTGGCTCGCTGTTTCGTGTTCAGTCCCGGGCTCAGTCCCAATGGGCAGCTTCACAGCCTCTCCTTTCCCTTTTTATGGTTCTTAATCTTCCAACTAGACTTGGACAGGGCCACCTTTCAGTCTGAGGAAGCCTTCAGAGATTGGACCATCCTCTGGTTGCCCTCCAATAAAGGACTGTTCTCTGTAAGAGAGGATACAAGGCCACCCAAATAGGCATTATTGGCTATCTCATGGAGACTTTCTGTAAGAAGGTCAGAAATTCCCTTTAGATCTAGTCAGGCTATTTTTCTTTCAACCCAGATGAGTTACTTTGAGTGGCTGCAGATTTTCAGTGTCTCTAAATGAGTCCTTTGTTGGCCACCTGGTTGTGTGTATGTGAGCCATTTTTCCCCTGCATTGGGCATGAATTGGTGGCAGATTAGCAAACAAAACTGGTTTCTTTCTCTTCTGGACCATTTTGCTAGCATTCGGGGGGCGGGGTTCATTTTCAGGCTGCCTTTGTTGTCCACCTCTGTTTTGGCAATGTAAACAAGCCATGAATAAGCCATAGGTCTGGGTTTGGACATCACAACAAACCACAGTTAAAAAATCCAGCCTTTGTAAACCAATGGGTCCTGTTTGCCTGGGTACCGTATCGTAGTTTGTGGAGCATCATTTAGAGTTTGGATGTCAGAGAAATCTGCAACAAATTCAGATGCACTTGGATTTTTGTGACCCCGACTTGCACATTTCACAGTGGACTGGATCTTTCTGGCTCACATGAATTCCAGACTGTGGATCATTTTAAAACTTTTTTTTTGGGAGGGGAGGAGTGGTGCTTAGCTACAGGAATGCAAGTGCGCAGTAGCACAAGCAGAACACAATTGTAGAACATCCCCAAAATTCGGATTCTGTCCATGAACAGACAAGAGAAGAGAAGACACCTGACAATTCATAACATGCAGGCAGAACAGGTTTAACAAAACTGCGCCTTAGTTCTGGTGTTAGGACAAGCCATTGTTCCGAAAAACGCAGCACAGTTGAACAGAACATGTGAACTAGGTCACTGAACCATCTTCTACAACCGCTGAAGCTTCTGCAGCCTTAGCATGTATGGGCCCCCCAGGTTGGTATGTCATTTGAGGGCCAGTTAAAGGGCACATCGCCAGTAATCCCCGATCCGTTCTCTGCATTTTAAGCAGCAAGCAATCAATTCAGGAAAATCCTAGGGTGGCCACCGTTTGATCAAGCAGAGCATGAACAAGCCGCCCATTCATCATGGCAGTGGGGGAAAATGAAGAAGACATGAAAGGGCCTTTTATGTCCCCAGGAAGATTGGGAACACCCAGTTAAGACATTCCAATTATTTTAACCATGCAATAAGGAGCTGAAAAGAAGTATGGGGTGTTTTTGACCTGATGCATCAATCCAGCTTTTCAGAGGAAGCACGGCTCCACAAACAGGACTCCGCACCTTCCCAGGCTGTCTACCAAACTGTGTAAGCTTGTGCTTTTCCTTTAACTGCTGCCGCTCTTTGCTGCCTTCGTCTGCACCCCTCACTGCCCCTTCCTGCTGCACGTGAAGAGAGCAAAGCAGCTGTCGAGTTCCTCTAAAAGTTCTCAGAGGTTGAAGTGCTTTGCGTTTCCTCTCCCTCCCCAGGGCACCTGCAAGCTGCCTTGTTCCCTCCTCTTTTTGACAAGCAGGCTGTCAGCCTCCCTCCCTCCCTCCCTCCCTCCGTCCCTCCCTCCCATTTTCTGCTTCTTTCTCTGGGTGCTTTTGCATTTATTTGATGGTGCTACCGAATCCTCCTGCGGGTGCGTTGTGGATTTTCTCCCCCTTACTCCTCTCTCAGCAGCTATGCAGCATCCCTGGCTGCCTGCACTTCCGGATCTCCCTGGGCTTTTGTGATTGTGTGGGAAGCCCTGAAGACTGCCGTCTACAGGAGAGCAGATTGCACAGGGAAGGGCAGGTTGATCACGCATGCTCCTTGACCACCTCGTCAGTGAGAGAGGGGTGGTGAGCATAAGAAACCGAACCCACGAAAGCCCAACCAAAACCTTCCTTGGAAATTCCATTCCTCATGGAATTTCTGTCAAAAGCTATTTCTTTTCTGTCAGACTGAACGTGAACTGTTAGGAAATGTGGAAGAAATTCTTGGCACAGCATTAAGTGGAAGACATGTGCTAGGGTGTTCAGATTTTTGTCACATTGGTCCTGTCTGTTTTACTGTCTGTTTGGGTTATTTCGCTCCATTATCCATGAAAGGGGCACAGGTAGCTGGCGAACTGGAAGGGTGATGAGCAGCACTCCATCTCGAAGGGGTTTGATGTAGGTCTTTGTAATGTTCCATTTCCTTTTTTGGCAGATGCACTTAGTTCATGTAAACACCAAGTACAAAACCACCAATGAAGCCAAAGGGCATCCAAATGGACTCGCTGTCCTGAGTTTCTTGTTTAAGGTATGGTGAAAGATGGAGTGTTAAGGGCTGGAAGAGGGATTGTATGGTCTCGTGGACAAGCTCCAACCTTCACCCCCACCCCTGCGTGGCTGGCACAAAGAGGACCGTGTTGGTGTCTTCTCTGAGGTTGGAAATGCAACCTCAGAGAGGAGTAAAAGAGACTCCCCTCCCCTCCCCTCCCTGTATTGCAGGTATCTGAGACCGATAACACCAATTACAACACGATTATAGCAGGCCTGAAAAACATCTCACGTGCAGGTTCGAGCATCCAAAACTTTTTGTTTGGTGACTCCATTGCTTCTTGCTTTGATTAAGATGGCTCATTCTCTCCTTCCATCTCCCTGTACCACTTCCAGTCTGACTGCTGCAATTTCCATCATCCCCTTCCTATGGACTAAAGCTCTCATTAAGATATCGGTCCTCTCTTCTGGGAGATTTGTCCAGCCTGCTTAGAGCTAAATCATAACCCCCATTCCAGGTTGCTTCCTCTGCGCGGAGCAGACAGACCGAAGTAGCTGTGGTTGGCTCCTGGAACTAACAGCCTGGCCCTGTTAATGTCACAGCCAGTTCCCAGGTTGTGCGGCCTTCAGGGCAGGACACCCCACAGCTTGTCTCTCCTCCGATCGGTGCCTCTGATTGGTGCCAGGTGGCTGCCCCAGTGGCATTCTGGGGAAACTGCAAAATGGCAAATCCAGGACAGCTGTCTACGGGCTTGTTGGGGTGGATGTACTAGGACTGTGCAGGAAAAAGGGAGGCTTCTGAAAACTCCCAGCAGTGCTCTGAATGCGGATGAAGTGCCTATTTCACCCTGGCTGGTATTCTTGCCAGGCGGGTGGTGTCTGAAAAAACCAAGCATATATTCCATATCCCATCCCTTCTCTTATTCCACTACTGGATCCAAGATCAGTCCTCTGAGCACCCGGTTGGTCTGGCTAAACTCCTGTGTTGTATTATGGCAACACCTGGCAGGGCCAGTTAACGGACAAATGGCTGATGGCGAGTTCCCATCCAGTTCTCTCCTGATCTTCTCTCATAAACACCAGACTGGAGCTGTTCACTCTTCATCGGCCGCTTCTGTTTCTCTGCCTAGACGATTATGTTGACTTGGCTTCCACGTTTTCCCTGAGGAACCTTCTGCCCAGCATGGCTTCACTGTCCAAATATTACCGCTACAAGGGTTCTCTCACTACTCCAAGCTGTGAAGAAGTGGTTGTGTGGACTGTGTTCGAAGAAGAGGTCCCAATCAGCAAGCAACAGGTCAGGCGGGAGCAGCAGATTTGCAATCTGCCCCAACGCCGTCCCCGAAATCTCTCATCCTTGGGGAAAATCACCCACAATTCACCGTGGATGATTTCCCTCTTGGCTGCAGCACCGAGAGTGGGAAGACTGGGTGTTTGATGCCAGAAGGGCTGCCCAGGGAGGCTCCTCAGGACTCCCTTGGTGGGTTTCTAAAAGAAGATATGGGTATTCCTCACCATTCCACTTTGTCTGTAAGAGCCGCCATCCCGCTCCCCAGTATACACAACGCCCCAGAACAAGAGTTCCAGGGGATTGTGGGAGATACAAAATGGCAGCTTGGGTGCCAGTGCCGTTCCTTCTGATGCCACTTGCAGTGGCAGAAAAAGCCTTAAGATAGAATAAGATGCTGCCATGCCGTTAATGGTGAGCCCAGCTTGAGAAAAACCATTGGAACCTTTTCCCTCTCCCTGGATATTATTCCGTAAAATCATCCACAAAAGCAGGGGAGAATTTGTGGGGAGGGGGTATCCACTTAGCTCAGCTTTGCAAAGACCCTACCCTTGACCCAAAACCAGGGCTAGTTCCGGAGAAGGCTGCCCCATCTCATGTCAGCCTGCATGCAGCACCTAATGCGTGTCAAATATTCTCTCTTTCTCTATTCAGCTGAATGCATTTGTGAACACCATTTATTTCAAGAACGTGGGAATGACAGCACTGAAAATGGCCAACAATTTCCGTCCTCCACAACCTCTCAATCGGCGCAAAGTATATGCATCCCGGGATGCCACCCTCAGCTGCAGTTCTTCACTGGCTTCCCATCTACTGCTTCCTCTCCTCTGGGCCTTTTTGGTCGGTCATTTCTCTGGCCCCTCCTAGCTGTCTCAGTGAACTGTCAAGGTCAGTCGTGTTCAGCTGGTACTTCACGGTGCCTTCACATCAACGCTTCCTCACGGTGATCCTTTTCTATCCACCATGGAGAATGATGCATGAGCTGAAAACAAACTGGCAGCAAGGCAAGAATCCGGCACCGGACTGCTATATTTAATTAATTTTGGAGAAACAGCTTTCATTCTGCTAAGATGTACCTGCACACTGGTGAAATCAAAGGCATCAGCCACATAATCAATGCATCAAATTGGGATTAGAATCATGCACACTTTCAGCTTTGCCTGCTTTGTCATGACATGTGGGAAGATGACGTGCAATGCACCTTTTCATCAGAATGTGAAAAAATGCTTAAATTGAAATTATAACAAATAAATCCAGAGTTCTCAACTTTTCTGTCATGGGTTCCACGATCACGGTTATTCATAACTCAAGGTATTAAATGCTCAGCCGTAGCGCTGCATTCACAGTGTATAAGGAGAAATTTGCAAAAATGTTGAAGGCACCTCTGGGAGTTGCTTAAATTTCACTGTGTTCAACATTGCTTTCCAGTTACAATCACCAGGTAACACCAGGTAAGGAGGAACCAGGTAGTCCTAGGTAAAGCTAGAAATGGAGCCCTACTGTTTTCAAGTCATTCTCCTCTGGGAAAGGGTACAGTTGGTTGATGCTGCTGCTGAAGACTGATATCCTTTATCACCCACTGTCTGTTGGACCTTCTGACCCCAGAAGTTCCTTCTGCCTTACTCAGGAGACCAGAATGACACAGAAAGAAAAGGGAAAACTTTGAGGCTATGTCAAAACTCTTGATCAGGCCAAGAAGCAAAGCAGCCAAAGAGATGCCGGCGGGACCCAGCGAGAGGGGCAGGGGGAGGAGAGAAAAGGTTGCTAATGAGCAAGAGGCCAAAAGGCAGAGCCTGCAGTTTGGAAGAGCACCTGATGTGATGCTGTGATTTAAACGAGAGCTGAAATACGAACTGTCAGATAGGACCCTTGTGTATATTAAGGCTGCAGTTGCTTAGAGATAATAGAGCTCGATGTGCTGGGAATGCGCGAGCTAGGGTGGGGGTGCATTCCACACTGGGCTGTCCTTGAATCATATTCTTCAACTGTCTTCCCCTGTGCAGAACAACCCTGGGGCACTCCTCTCTGTTTCTCACACACTCAGGCATGTGTACACACACACACACCATAGGGGATCCTGGTGCTCTCGGCTCTGTCAAGCCAAGCGTTGCTAAATTGATGGGCCTTTGGTGGGAACTAATTACAGGCAGAAAGGGGTTGAAGTGCAATATGAGCAAAGCTGTGAAAAATGGATGGAGCTGTGTCTCCCCGCCACCCCCCCCTACAGCCGCCAGTCCACAACTTTTCTCCAGGAAAAGTGAGCAGCACCACTCCCGTGATCCGTCTGCAGTTCCTCCAGATGTCCTTGTTCTCCAGGATTCTGCACTGCACATGCAGAAGTGTGTAAAAGACCTGGGTCCTCCATCAGGTAACATTTATAGTGTCACTCTGGGCTTCTACAGCAAAATTGAAATTGCCATGGGGAAAGGGCTACGTGTAACTATTTCCTTTAAAAACAAACACCCAAACCCTGAACCTGTTTGCATGACGGAGCTCCAAATCTTCCTGCAACGCTGCCCTGGCAACACGCATTATATCCCTTCCTGCTGATAGTGGAAGGCGGATAAAGGGATGTCCTTGCTAGTCCAGGACCCGGCAGGTTTGGGGGCATCATGTGCATTCTGTGCTTGCCCCCTCCCTCCTGGTCATACATTACTGTTTCAGGAGTTTCCAGGCCAAAGATTGTCCCAAACCAGACAGGAGGAGAAGCACACGGTTTCACAATTGCCACTGACTCAGAGCAAATTAATGTGGAAGGCCAGCAAGCAGGGCTGGACATGCTGGCTTGGGTTTATGGGAACTGTAGTCCAAAACATCTGGAAGGAAGGAGGTTACCTCCCTCTAGTCTGCACTGACCACCAGCAGCTTTTTAGGGTTTATTTTTTCTCAGCCTCATCTTGAAATGCTGGAGATCGAACCCAGAACCCTCAGGGTGCAAACCACATGTTCATCCAACTCCTCTGCAGTCCATTACCTCACATAGGATGATGGGGGCCCATACCCCAGTGAGGCAGCCAAGCACTGTAGGATTCCACCTCCTGCACCCATACCTTGAATTTGTCAGCAAATAAGTTGAAAAATAGAATTGAGCTCTTAAAAAAACAACAATCTCAGTGCAGCTGTGTATATAACAATTCAGTTTCTTATGCCTCCTTTCTAATTTACCATTGTCTTCCTTGATCTGCACCTCCCAAGAGGCTTCAGAGCTCTGTTTAAATAGCAAGGGTGCACTGAGCAGGAAAATCCCATTCAGAAAACAGTGTGAGAGGCTTATGCCCCCTTCACCCCCACATCCTTTGCTAGGAAACAGTAAACCCGAAGAAATTAAGCTCTTCAACAAATAGCAAACCTATTAAGAAGACACTGCAATTTCCCCTTTTGTTCTCCCTAATTACAGGTTTAAACTTAGCACCAAGGAAATTCAGCTAAAATTAGCTCTGGGAAAGGCCAAGCAGTTCTTAATACCCATACTACAAAACCACAACACCTACACAGTACCTTTGCAAATTAGACCTACTGAGTGGTTGTTTTGATTGTTTTTTAAAAGATATATTGTAAGTCCATTAACTCTGATTCTAATTTCTTTAAGGAGTGGGTGAGATTTGGGAAGGGAACATAATCAGTATTTCTACGTACACTCACACACAATGTACCCTGACCATTCTTCTTCTCCTCCTTCCAAGCAGACCAGGACAAAGGCTTTGTAAGAACAAAGCTTTATTATATAAAAACTGGTCATCTAGGCTGGCATTGAAGTATTAAAGAAGGGAATTGCAGAAACCAGTCACAAAAGAAGGAAGTCAAGTTAGAATACTGGCCATTAGGGAAATACAGCTTAATGATAAGAAGTTGTTTCCAAACTGAAAAGAGCAAACTGCATCTTTAGAAGAATCCTGGGCCACTTGTCTGGAATTTCTGGCTTTATTCAATTGGGCCACCCTCTTAACCTTGACACCACACCCTCAAGCTAACTCTGCCCTACTCCACACTAGAATGCCCACTAAATTTCCCATGGAACTTGAAACTGTCTGATTCCAAGCAACTGCCTGGCTTACTGGGATCCACTGGCTTTGACAATTCAGCTGAGGAATCTTGTCCCACCTTTTTGTCTGACTTGGAATCTGATTGCACAACCTTTGAAGTCTCTTCTATAGATGGAGTGGGGTCACTCTCTCCTCTCTCTCACTTTCTTTCTCTTAAGCTCTCACTATATCTATATGAAAATATAGTTTTCTAAGAAACTTCAACACAAGCAGACCAAACATCCATGTAAGTATCCCTTTGTAATTAGCATCTGCACTCTACCCATTCGAATGCTGGACGTGTCGTAAGGTCTTTGATCCAGTGCATTATAAGAGGTAAGATATCTCCTTGCTCTGTTTCGTGTCAACCTTTAAGCTGTCAAAAAGATGCAGGATTACTGTGCTTTTAGCTTCCAGGAAACAGGTAGATAATTTAAGAGGGCAATTACCTAAGCAAATGTTAAAGAGAGTTTCAATACAAAGTTTATCCATACAGTAACCTACTCCCCAGAAGAGGTAATTATTGGCCATTGCAATAAACACACGGTGAGAAGAAGGATTAATTGTGTTACACCTCTTGCTATTTTGGTCCAGGTGTGGGCAGCTGAAGAGCAGTCTCTGAAGATGAAATGAGCAGGAATATATTTACAAGGTGTTTGAATGAGACATTGCAACTCTGACATTGCAACTTTAAATGGCCATCTCATTTTAGTTACACACATGCACCTTTTTCCTAATAGGTTGATAGGCTATCAGGTTGTGCTTGGCAGGTGTGTATCCATGGAGAGATGGGGCAGATAGCCTTTGTTTTATGGTAGGTTTTACAAATTACCAGCTTAAACTTGATCCAGTTCACAAATTATATGTGTATATATTATATACAGGCTCCAAAATTGGCCTTTCATGGGGAGAACACAACAGCTCACTTACTGCAGAGCCATTTAGCAGCTGTCAGTTGCTGCTCCTAATACAATGATTGAAGTGACTTTGTGAAGAGCTTGACAAAGCAGATGCATAACCTGCCAGCAACGTCCTTGTCTTTTCAGAAGGCTGGTTGGCGTGTTTGTGTGACATCTTTATGGCAGCTGGTCTCGTGAAGACTGTTGATGGTTATGACAAAGGGAATTTCTCAGCGTTCCCAAGATCTTGCATCCAGTCTTTCCCAGGATTCGTATTCTCAGTGGACCCCAAATGGAGCTCTCTCCTGGAACACATGCAGGTGCTACATTTCTCTCCTCGATCTTTCCACGGTTCTCTTTCCAGATCCTTGCTGGACATTTGCTTTCCTTCTGGAAGCTTTGGATTAACCCATTCAACTGCTGGAATGTAGGCATTGGTTCAATTCTGGTTTTGGATCCAGACTTCCCTAACCCCCCTTCTCACAGCAGAACTTGAAAATGCTGCATCAGATCCCTTTCTCAAGGGCAGCACATTCTTCTGTTGAAGACCTGTTCTTCTGATAAGGCAGATTTTCGATATAGCCTGCTTCTGGAGCTTCTGCTTTAGGGAGTGGGGAGAAATTCCGTTGTCCCATATTTTAAGGCAGGTTCATCTCATTTGCACTTTGCAAAGCAATACGTAAGGCAAAATGCAGTTATCCTTCTCTATCTGCGCTTCTCTGAATTTTGTGATGAAGTTCTTCAATAACAGTAATAAAAAAAGTCTGCCAAATTGCATGTGTCAGGGAAAAAGGCATGCAAAATGTGCATATATATGGAAATAAGAAATGAAAATGCATGCTATTAGGGGATGTATAGCAACAATGTGTCTATTAGGTAAGAAATACATGCCCACAGGTGCATGAAAATCATAGTACTTTAGGAAAAGAATGTGCAAACTCTTGACAAAGTGATGGAAAAAGAGAATCTGAGAGCACTTACAATTGACAAACTTGTCCATTCCTACTCCATGATGGCTTTCAATTTCAGAAAAAGCAGCAGTGGAACCCCTTTCTGGATCAGGGCTCCTCACTGTGGTGGAGAAACTCAATAGTTGGGCTCCAGCATCAGTCGGGGAGTGTATCCCATCCGGGTTTCAGTCTGAGCCTTTAAGGAGATTTCCATGGTACTGAACCGATTTTGAGGAAGGGATAAGCACCATGGATACAGACTAAAGTCTGTATCTGATAACATTCAGACTAAAACCCACAGTGGATACACTGAGTCTGTCCTCCACAGCTGCATTGCAAATCAGATCCTGCCTCCCTCTT